ACATAGGGAGCTCGTGCGGGTGTCCCAGAAGCGGAGGTGAGAATTGACTTGGAGCCCGCCGCCCGCAGCGCCTTGTGCGGAAGCAGCTGAGCGTGAGAGCAGGCCCGTGCTCTAACCCCACATAGGAGCAGGCAGTTTCTCTGTTCTGCACCTTCGGTTGTTTCCAGTCTTTCCGCCATAAACATTGTTGCAGCAAGTGTCCCGGTCCACAGCCAGTCCTTATAAAAATGAGTCAAGTGGGAAGATAATTACTTTAAATTTAGCAATCTCTTTAAAAAAATCTTCTGTTTTTAAAAAATATATATATTTTTATTAATTTCAGAGAGAAAGGGAGAGAGAAACATCAATGATGAGAGAGAATCATTGATCGGCTGCCTCCTGCTTGCCCCTTACTGGGGACTGAGCCTGCAACCTGGGCATGTACCCTGACCGGGAATCGAATCGAGACTTCCTGGTTCATGGTTCGATGCTCAACCACTGAACCACACTGGCTGGGCAAAATCTGTTTTTGTACCGTATTTGATTTCCCTCATCTTGAAATATATTTTTAACATTCTCCCATATTTTCTCGCACTCTCCTGGCTGAGTTGTTTTAGCATTTGATCTTTTATTCGTCTGGATGTATTAAGGTCTAAGGAGTTAGGTACGGATCCACCTTTTTTTTCCTCCCAGAAATAACCGTGTTATTGTGCACAGACTGCAGAAAAGTTGCAAGTGCAGTAGTGAGATTGCTTTCTGAACCGATTTAGAGGAAGCAGCTGGCCTGATGCACCTTCGTCCCCAATTTCTCCTGTGTCTTTGCCACCATTGAGGACAGTGTCCTACATAACTACACACAGCTGTCAGGCCAGGGAGTTGCACCAGTGCCAGCAGCTAACCTCTGGACCCACCCAAGTGGCACTAGTTGTCCCAGCCGTGTCTTTTACACCTAAAAACCCTCGGCCTCATGTAGAATCACTTGTCGCATTCAGTTACGTTTCGGCCCTCCCGGGCCTGCACACTCCTCTGCCTTTGATTTCCGTCCCTTTAGACAGAACCCACCAGCTACTGCAAGAATGTCTCTCGGTCCACGTGTGGGTCTGGGCCCTGGCGATGCGATTCAGTGCACACGTCTGGGCCAACGACGCTGCGTCCTCGGCACATGTCTCAGGTGCCCCGGGCCCTGTGCCCCTTGTCAGGGACGGCCCTTTTGGTCCTTGGGTTAAGGCGGAGGCTGCCAGTCTTCACCCTCCCAAGCTCTCCTTGGCTCTGAGCAGTAGGTGATCTGTGGGAAGGTGCTTTGCAACTATGTAACCATGTGACTCCTCCACTTCCCTTTGTCCACTGACTTATGTTTGAGTGGGTTCTCAGTTCCTGTTGTACTCAGAGGGCAGAAACGTTGCTGTTATTTATTTATGGTGATGCTCAAATAGTCTCAGATTCTGCCAGTGGGAGCTCCTTCAAGCTGACTCCCCTGCCCCCGACGCGTCTCCTCGCTCTGTGAGCCCTTCCTCACTTTCTGGTACAAGATGCTCCAGCCTCATCTTGCATCCCTGCCACCATCCATCTTCCCGGGGTGTTGGTCCCCTTAGCGAAGGCTGGTCTTCAGCAGCCAGGATCCAGACAGGAGGGAGGCCCTTTCTGCTGGGGAGCTGTTCCTCCCACGCCATCTCAGAGGCCGGGCCAGGAAGCAGACAAGCACTTATAAATGTGAACACCCCCCAGCACCTCTGTCCTCCTACGGATACTGACAGCCACGGTCGCACATCCACCACTAACTCCAGCCGACATCACAGGAGCGTCCCGGTCCTCACTGTGCTCCTGTCCGGCTAAGGCGGCGTTCATGGCCTGCAGTGCAGGCACTGATGTGTCAGTCCCCCCAGGTGCGAACCACTGTCCCCACCGGCCCTCCCCTCTCCAGGATCTCAGCCCCTCTCCAAGGTGCTGGCATCCCGCACCCATGGCTCTACTGAGCAGGCGCCCCCACACCCTCCCTGTCCACCCTGTCATCCCCGCAGTGGCCTCAGAACTGAATTGCCCAGAAAGCAAAGGGGCCTCCGGGCTGCCACACCTACCCCTGCTGGCCTCTCGCCCCTCCACCGTGCTCCCCATCTCTGCCCGGGCTCTTCCCACACATGTGCCGCCCGCGTTCTCTGGGGCCTGGGCCCCGGCCAGGCTCGTCTCTGTCCCTTGCAGCTTGCTGGCTGCGTGGGGCAGCGCTGGCGTCGCTCCCGCTCTGGGTGTGCAGGGGCACAGGCTGCAGGCAGGACTGTCTCTGCCTGGTGCAGCATCGCTCGCTGGGGGTCACCCTTTCGGGTGCAGAACCTGCTGCCATGGCTCAAAGGAAGCACTCACGTCCCTGCCTCCTGAAGCCGCGGCAGGCTGTCACCCACACGCCCCTTCTATTTGTGGAGCCTGAGCTTCATGCAGACATTCCGGGAGCTCATAAGGGCAGCAAGCCGCGCTGACGAAGTGTCTCTGTGGGTCATTAGGACAGTGAGCAGCATGATGGCTGCTTCTAAACATGGAAACGAGGTGGGCGGGAGCTGGCAGAGGAGCGGGGGAGCTGCGCGTGCTGTGAACTGGTCTCCAGCAAGCCATGGGGTCGCACAGCCACGTGGGGGCATCCGGGCTCAGGTCAGTGCCACCTCCTGAGCATTGCCAGGGCCAGGCACTGGGGGATGAAGGGACCTGAGGTGCCTCTGCTCCCGCCCGGGAGCAGCTCCAGGCCCCTGGGCTTGGTGTGGGCGTCTCAGATGGCAACGAGGTGGGGATGCTCAAGTGCCTGTCAGGTGGACCGCTGACCAGGGGAATTCTTGGAGGCAGCCACGTGTGAGGCTGAGAGCAGGGGCGGGATTTCAATGTGCAGAGC